CCCGGTCCTGCCTCTGGCTCCGGCCTTTCCGGCCGGATCTGCGTCCCGGGCTCCCCAGGAGCCCCCCTCCTCTCCTTCCCTGCCCTCCGCCTTTCCTGCTCCCGTGGGCACCCCTCGCAGGAAGCCGGTTCCCACCTTTCCTGGGCCCAGGGCGCTTCCCAGCTCGTTCAAGGTCTCCCCACGCCCAGGCCGGGGCCCATCTTCCAGGCGGCCCTGCCCCTGGGTTCCCAGCACCCGGGCCCCCCCAGAGCTCCCGGACCCTCTGGCCTCCAACTTCCAGGCCCCCAGCCCAGCCCGGGGTTTCCAGGCCTCACCCTCCCTATGCCAACTGCTCCCAACCCCTGGGTCCCCCAACCCCTGGGTCCCCGCTTCTTCCAGGCCCTTCCTGCAGGGCACCATCTCTTCCCCAGATCTCCAGGCCTCGAACCCTCTCGTGCCTCAGGGCCGCTCCCTCGCAGAAAAACCCTCTCCCAGCTTTGGAGGTCTTCCCCAGCTCGCACGGCCTGACCCCGGGCCCTCCTTCCAGAAGACTCCTGGGCTCCAAGCCTCTGGCCTTGCCCTGGCTCCCAGCTCTCTGGTCTTGTCTTCCGGAAGCCGTTCCCCTCCAGTTTCTAGGCCCCTTCACCCCCACAGGCCCAGCCTTTTTCCCTCTGGGCTCCCCTTGCCCAGGACTTGCAGACCCCAGACCTTTCCAAAGGCTCCTCCTACAGAACCCCTTCTTTGGCTTCCAGGAGCTTCCTCAACGCAGGCCCCTGGCCCAGGGCCCCTCGGCCCCTCCCTGCCACCGCCCCACGGCCTGCACCCTTCCTATCATCCCCAGGCCCCCTGTCCCTAGACCACAGCCCAGAGCCATCCGGGAGAGACCCTCCTCCCCACTCCCCTGGCTTCTGATCGCCCTCGGTGCTTCTGAAGACCCTCCCACCAACCAATGCCAGACTCTCCCAGCTGGGTTATTGTCCCGTTCCCCCCCCCGCCCCCCCCAGCCTTCTGACAGGTCCCTGCTCCCCCCAGCCCCTCTCATTCCTGATCCCCACCAGAGAGGTTTTCTCTGCTCCTTCTCCTTGCAGGACCCTCCCTCATAGAGATCGCCGCCACCCCTGCCACCCATCATACCATAGGCCAGACTCTGATTTGGAGTCTCCAATGAGGTACCCCTAGCCCCCCCTCACCCCACCTCCAGTCACTACAAAAAGTGCCAGGGGGCCCACAGGCCTGGCTGGGTTCAAGTGCTGGCCCTGCCTGCTGGTGTGCCTGTGTCCTCAGGCTCCTGGTTCTCCCTTTCGGAGACTCAGTTGCCTGCCCTGGGAAGTGGGGGTGATCCCTTGAGTCAGAGGATTACTCGGGCTGATCCGGGTAGAGCCCGGCACACAGGACGCGCTCCGCACGTGCTCACACTATTGTGACTGTGGGGATGAGTCAGATGGCCGTGGATTCTCAACCCAGCGCTGTCATCGTGGTTCGTGAGCCTACAGATCCACTCCCTGCTCAGAGCCTGTTTCTGTTATTTACATATTTTTTAAATTTTTATTCATTGATTTTAAAGAGAAACACCTATTTGTTGTCCCACTTATTTTTGCATTCATTGGTTGCAAGTGAATGCATCCTGACCGGGGATCGAACCTACAACCCTGGCATATCAGGACAACACTCTAACCAACTGAACTACCTACCTGGCAAGGGCTAAGCCTTAGTTACTTTTATTTTTTTAAATATATTTTTATTGATTTTAGAGAGGAAGGGAGAGGGAAAGAGATAGAAACATCAATGATGAGAGAGAATCAATGGTCGGCTGCCTCCTGCATGCCCCCTACTGGGGATCGAGCCCACAACCCAGGCATGTGCCCTTGATCGGTATTGAACCCAGGACCCTGCAGTCCTCAGGCCGATGCTCTATCCACTGAGCCAAACCGGCTAGGGCAAGCCTTAGTTTCTTTATCTCTATATGGGGTTGATGATAGCACCTCCCTGTTAGAGATGTTTTAAGGAGCCAAGGAGATTATGTGAATAAAACAGACAAGGTCAAGCACATAGCTGCTGTTATTAATCATTATTATTACTTTGATTATTCAGATGAGCATGGGTTCAAATCTAGTTTCTATCCCTCCCTAACTGTGTGACCGCAGGCAAGTGCCCTCACCTCTCTGAACCTCAGTTTAGTCATCTGTAAAATGGGGCTCACCTGAGTACTTCCTCGTTTCATTGTTGAGATCTGTGCCTAGTGGGGATCTGGGGAGATCTAGTCCCCTTCTCCTCTCTAGTGTGTAAGGCCTTCTTGTCAGTCCTGGCCGGGGTCACGTCTCTCCCTCTGGAATCTGAGGTTGCAGTGCCCTCTCCTGCCACGTGTTCACCATGTTGATGGCCATGTGGGGTCATGCTACCCCACCCCAAGTCCCAGGCCCTCCCCCCCAGCCTCTCTCGAGGTTCCCTAGCAACAGGCCCCGGTGTTGGGGCGCCAGCCGGCGGGAGGGAGCTGGGCCAGCTGGTGGTGCCAGCCAGTTTTAGCTCCCGCCCCCGGCCCCTGGGGGCTTTGTCACCCACTGCCCCAGCTGCCCCTTGCAGGGGTCCCTCGGCTGCACTGCCTTCAGTGGGGTGCCAGCCCACACCCAGTTGGCTCCCCTGGTGCCACCTGATGGGGATTCTTCTCCCAGCTGTTATCTCGGTGGGGATCCGGGGCCTTATCAGCCGGGATCTCCACTTTCCTTCCTGCCTCCCCCCAGAGGAGGCCGGGGTGGTGAGCAGCCCAGTGGGATGTGGGAAAGAGCTCAGCACCCAGGAGTCTGCAGGCCCCGGTTTGAATCCCAGGTGCTCTGCTCCGCCTGCCCTGTGACCTTGGGCAGGGTACTGATCCTGTCTCAGCCTTGGGGTCCCTTTCTGCAGAACGCTGATCCTAATTGGACCCACATTGGAGGCCAGGGCTTCAGCGGGGTGGTTCTTTCTGCCCCGTGTGGGGAACATTCGATTCCTGCTTCTTGTGTGACCTTGACAAGGCCCCGTCTCTCCCCAAGCCTCAGTTTCTCCTCTGGAATAAGAGGATGCAGGTGCCTCTCTCCCGGGCTCTGGGAATTAAATGTAGATGAGGTGTGTGTTGGCCCAGGACTTGGCCCCTAGGAAAAGCTGCTTAATAAAAACAGTGTGGCCGTGTGAGACATGGTTTTGGTGATGGGGAAGAACAACTCTGGGGGAACTGTCTGGGCTCGGATCCAGGCTCTGGGCCTCAGTTTCCCCCCGTGTAAAATGGGGGTGATGATGCATTAATGGCCAGCATTCATTAAATACTGGTCATCATCACTGCTAAGTGGCCTGGCAGATGTCCTTCAAGGAGCAGCCCCGGGCCCTCATCTCGTCGCCTACCTGTCCTTCTCTCTTCCTCAGCTTTCTGAGCAGGGCACAGGGTCCGAGCAGAGCCGGCCTGGCTGGGGCCTGTGGCTGCCTCTGTCGCCTACACCCTGGGCCCCAGCCCTGAAAGGGAGGCACTGTCCCTGGGGCTCACAATCAGGACAGGGCAGCCTGGGCACGCAGGTGACCTGCAGGGGAGAGACAGGACGGCCGGAACAGAGTGTCGGGGACAGATAGGAGCGATGGCGGGGGAGGCAGCGGCCAGGGCTCGAAGGGAGCCACAGTGCTGGGGGAGGGGGCGGGGGGGCGGGCGGTGAGGGAGGGAACAAGAATATGTTTAAGGAATGTTACAGTGGGGCTAGAATGATGTCAGGGCAGAATGAAAGACACTTGGTGACCGTGTTTGGCCTTGAATTTGAGATCAGAAGAAATTGTTAGGGGAACTAAACTGGGAACAAAATATAGTATTGGCACTTGGGTTTGGAATCGAATTTGGGGGCTGGCATGGGGACAGGGATGGAGAAAACAGAATGTTGGAGGCAGTGAGGGTCGGGGTGGAGTGTTGAGACCAGGTTGAGGTCAACGTTGATTGGGGCTGAGGGCTGCAGCATTTGGAATAAAATACTGTAGAGCTGGTGGAGGTCCCGGTAGCAGGGAAGTTGTGGGTAGACTGACTACAGGGAGGGCTGAAGAAGAGGCCTGGTGTCTGGGAACCTGGATGCTGCAGAGTTGGCGGGTGCCCAGCGTCTTTGTTCTTGGAGGTGTCCTTTTGTAGAGAGAGAGGGGAGACCCAAAGGCATCTTGCTTATCTCCGGCCTGGGCCCGGGAAGCGGCCGTGGCTGGAGTTAACCACCCCAGCGCTGGCTCCGCTGAAGGCGGATTGGACGGGCGCTGCCCGCGGCTCACGCTCCGTCTCCCCCACCCAGCATGGCACCTTGGGCAGTAGCCGCTCCTCGGACAAGGGGCCATCCTGGTCCAGCCGATCCCTGGGTGCCCGCTGCCGGAACTCCATCGCCTCCTGCCCCGAGGAACAGCCCCACGTGGGCAACTACCGCCTGCTGAGGACCATCGGGAAGGGCAACTTTGCCAAAGTCAAGCTGGCCCGGCACATCCTCACCGGCCGGTGAGGGGACGGGCGGGGCTGGGCAGGAGGCCTGCAGCACCTGCGCTTGGTGGGCGGTGGGGCGCGGTGGGCTTGGCCCCCGTTTTCCTCTGTGACCTCAGGTGAGTCTCTGCCTCTCCTTAGGACAGATCAGAACATCTCAGATTTTTCCAGAGCAGCCCAAGTAGGAGAAGAGAACCCATCTCAGGCATCCCTGAGACGGTCAGCAATCGCAGCTCACGGGCAGAGCTGTGCGTGGTGTTTCTAATAATTTGTGTGGCCTTTGTGTGTGAGCCTGGGCACCGCCCTGTTTTCATAGTGGACTTGGACTCCAGCAGGTCTCCCAGTGATCTTGAGAACACAAGGTTCATTGGAGTTCTCAAGTACACACTCTCCCTTCCTCCCCCTACGCCCTGCGGGTGGCAACACTGCTGCAGAAAGGGCCCAGGCAGACGGGGAACCTAGATATGAGGCCTCCAACTCACACTCAGCAGGAGAAAAGGTGGTGGGTGGGTTCAGGACTCCTCCGCACCGCCTTCCATTTTAAGCAAACGACGGGCGTGATTTCTCCCGCCTCGGACGAGCCCTCTCCTGCCCTTTCGCTGTCTATGCTGCACACACGAAAGACACCAGGCCCCAGTGGTTTTATGGGCAAATTGTACCAGACGTGCCCATTTTATGCCGGTCCTTCCGGAGACTAAAGAAAGAGGTTCCACTGCCAACGGGTGTTCAGTGCGAGTTCAGCAACCATCGCAAAAGCAGCTGAGAAGTCAATGTCAGCCTCACGTGTGAACAGAGGTCCAGCAGTCAGAAAGCCGTGTGATGGCAAAGCTGGGTTTAGCCGGGAATGCACAGTTCTTTGCAGATTCACAATTTATTCATGTATTTCGCCACATCCACAGATTCAAGGAGAGAAACCATATGATCGTCTCAGTATCGGCGTACAAAATGTTTGACAAATTAGAAACGCACTCGTGAGAATGTGAGGACAGCCAGGGACCCTCTCCCCCACAAAGAACAGGCCGTTCCCTCGTGTGGATCTTGAACATGATTCCAGGGGTTTCAGAGAGGACCGGCATCTAAGGGAACAGGGCCTCCCAGGGGAAGACTCGTAATCCAGGGGGCCTGGGGTGGCCCCAAAACCCTTTGTAAAAGCTATAGACTTAAAGCTGGATTAAGACTGACAGGGCCCTCACTATGGCAAAACTTACGGTGCTCTATCCCAGGTGAAATTCAAAATAAAATCTCAGCTACGAGATAAATATAAGGAGAGTTCAATAGCAGTCTGATCCCCCCACGTGATGACCACCTCAGAGTTCTTTTAAAACTAAAAATGTGCACATGTAGTTTTAAGTGTTTAAGAGGTAGACTCTGTCAGGCTACGGAAGTTCAGATCCCAGCCTGCAGACTTCCTCGCCGCATAGCCTTGGCCAAGTGACTGAACAGCTCTGTGCCTCAGTTTCCCCGTTTGTAAAGTGGGGGTCATTCTAGCACTCCTCTCACAGGGGTTCTGTGAGGATTGGAAGAGTTATCATTTGTAACGCACGTGTGACTGGTCGGTGAGGTTAGCTTCAGTTATTGTTTATTGGCCCCCAGTTTGTGCATCTAAAACAAAGATGGGGGGGATGAATGTTCTGAGATGCCCTCACAAAGGTCCCCCTTAAGGTCTCGGTCACACACTCACACAGGCCCCTGGAGCAGCCCCATCCAGGCCTCACTGCAGAATAGGGACTATTTCCCTATAAAAGTAAGGGTAGCACTGGACACGGTGGGAACAGCATGTGCAAAGGTCCTGAGACCCGGCTCCCTATCCACTAGGAATGGCCCAGGCTGAGGTTTTTCTGTGAGAGGGGGTAAAGGAAGGCCATCCCAGGTGATCTTGAGTTGGGGTACCTTGACCTTCCCCCCTTTCTTTCACCTCCAGGTTGCCATCAAAATCATCGACAAAACCCAGCTGAACCCCAGCAGCCTGCAGAAGGTGAGGCCCAGGGAGAGGGAGCAGCGTGGGGGTAGGGTTGGGAAGAGGGTCCTCAAGACCACCCACCCTCCTCTTTCCCCTTTCTTCCAGCTGTTCCGAGAAGTTCGTATCATGAAGGGCCTAAACCACCCCAACATCGGTGAGGAGGGCAGGGCGTGGGCTCCGAGGCTGCCCAGCAGGGCACCAGGGCACGGGGAGAGTTGAGGCACTGCGGGATTGGCAGTTACAGTCGTTAGAAAGACCTGTTTTCTCACAGCGCTGTCCCTGCTCACAGGCTCTGTGGCCTTGGCCAAGTCACTTAACCTCTCCGAGCATCAGTTTCCTCCTCTGCGGGGGGTGTGATGTGGGGCCTTCTCAAGGTCGTTGTGAGGATTGGATAAGATTGTGCATGCGAAACACTCAGCTCAGCGTTAAGCTGTGGGAGCTGGTCTGATTGTTGTCATCAGTAGCAACCATTGTCATTGTCATTAGGCAAGGGAGAGAGAGAGGGCTCGTTACCGAGAGAAGCCTGGCCTGGATGTGGCCGCACCACTTACTCATCCTTTGTTTTTTCACTCGGTAAATATTGATCGGGTGGCCACTATGTGCCAATGCTGGGGATACAGCGGTGGAGAAAACAGGCACAAATCCCTGGCTGCATGGAGCTGAGCTGACATTTGTGAGAGAGAATATATAAGAGGTGTAACGTGGGGCTGAGGAGAGGAAAGTCTTGCCATCAGTAGGGAGCCACTGAGTGTTCTTGAGTGAGGGTGTCATGGCTCAGCCATCCACACAGTTACGATGTGGTGGGTGGCGGGGTCTCTTCCTGCATAACCCGCCCCGCCCCCCGCCATTGCAGTGAAACTCTTCGAAGTGATCGAGACCGAGAAGACGCTGTACCTGGTGATGGAATATGCAAGTGCTGGTGAGGCCCCTCCCCGCCCCACCCTGCTCGCTGCGCCCCCTCCACACCCCACCCTCACCCCCTCGGCCTCTGCCCTGCAGGAGAAGTATTCGACTACCTCGTGTCACATGGCCGCATGAAGGAGAAGGAAGCTCGAGCCAAGTTCCGACAGGTTGGGGTTACGGCTGTGGGTGGGGCTGGGTGGGGTCCCTGGGGACGAGAGTCTGATTGCTGGGCGTGGATCTGGATTGTCCAATGACGGCGGGGGTGGGGGTGAAGGTAGAGAGTTGGGTGTCCATGGGTGTGCAGATGCCCAGGTGTGAAGATATCCAGATGTAGCTGTGCAGGTGCCCAGTTCAGTGGGTGAGAGAGTCAGGCAGGACGGTGCCAGCTGTGCAGGTGTCAGGAATGTGGGTGCGAGGGTGTGCCCAGGGTGTGGAAGTGTGGCTAAAGGGACCTGGAGGTGCCAGGGTGCCGAGGTGTGAGTGGAGGAGTGTGGATTTGAAGATGTGTGAGAACTAGGTATGTGGGTGCCCAGGTTTGTAAGTGTGTCGATGTGCGGGGGAAAGTGCGTGCAGCCTGAGTGTATGGGTGAGGGGGGCCAGGTGTGGGTATATAGGTTGGTGAACAAGAGTGTATGGTGGAAGGACGTACAGGTAGATAAGAAGGTGCTGCTGTCCAGGTATGTGGCAATGGGGTGTATGTGGCAATGGGATGTAAGTAAGAGGGCATGCAGGTGTGAGGATGTCGGGGTGCTGGGAAAAGATACGCAGGTGCGAGGGTGCCCAAGTGTGTGGGTAAGAGGGAATACAGATGTGAGGGTGCCCGGCAGCCAAGTGCTTAGCAGGTGTACGTTTGATGGGTACAGGGATCTGAGTGCGGGTGTCAGCCCGTGACTGTCCAGCAGTCCTGACACAGCTGCCTGAGACGTGGGGGGCTTCAGCCCTGGTGTGTGGGGCCACGGGTCCATCTGCAGGTGTGCCCCTTCCTCATGCATGTGTTCAGACGTGGAAGTCAGGCAGGGCTAGTCCCCCGTGTGCTGCTCTGAGGTCGCTGCCGGGAGGGTGTCCTGATATCTGCGGGTGAGGGCTGGGTGCCCGAGGGGCGGTGTGTGTCTGCAGGTCCCGCAGCGTTTCCCGCCGTGACTGTGTCAGGGCGATGGGATATGCAAGTGCTGCATCAGCCTGGGCCTCGGGGAGGCCTGGGTCCAGAGCCTCGGTGTGAGTGGGCTCACGGGGTCCCTGAGGGAAGCTGGGGGCTGGAGGGCCTCAGGTAACTGACCTTCCCTCCTCTCCCCCAGATTGTATCGGCTGTGCACTACTGTCACCAGAAAAACATTGTCCACAGGGACCTGAAGGTGAGCCCCCTCCCCACCACCAGCTCCCAGCTCAGCCACCTCCGGCCCCCCGGGCTTCGCCTGTACCCTCTTCCAGGCCACCTTTTCTCCACAGGCTCCTCCCTCAGCACCCAGGGCCCCTGGCCTTCGTCCCAAGCCTTTCGTGGCAAAAGCAAGGCCAGCAGAGCGGGGAGCGAGTCAGGGGTGGGGTCAGGAGGAACAAACAAAGAGGAAGAAACAGAGTGTCCTCGACGCCGAGGTTACGTGTGTCCCAGACAAGACACTGGGCGACAAGGACACTGGGCGAGAGAGAGTCCTCACTCAGCCTTGGCTGTCAGACTTTAGAACATTCGGGAATCTTTGAGAACTGAGATTTCAAAGCCCGACAGTCACCCTGCCTCCAGGTCTCATCTCCCGGGCATCTTTGGGCTCGAGAAGGAAGTTGCACGAGAACCCTCACGGCTAGTGCCCGGCGGGGAGGGGACTCAGTGGCCGAGTAGGAGCAGCCCCTTGTAGCTCGGGTTCTGGGGTCCCTGTTCCACACCTCCCACCCGAGAGAACCCCACATCTCAGGACTTCTCCTCTTAGACCAGAGATAAACGTTTGTGTGGCTCGAATAGAGTCGGCTTGCCTGATTCCTTGAGCACCTGCTATGTGCCAGACCCTGTGCTTAAGGGAGGGCTTCTCAAGGTTCTTCAGAAGGGGCCAGCTTTGTTTCCCTATCCGGTGCGGACAGGTACTTTTGTAAAGTACAATAAATGAAATGAGAAAAGATGTACAAAATACAAGCCCAACTTTTAAAATTATTATTAGATTCAAAAAACATAAAATTCCACTGTCAAATGGCTGGAGAAGTTCCTAAAAGCCCCTTCTCCCTGTGCTGCCCTGAAGTACCCCCCTTACCCTCTGAGAAAGCCACCTCTAAGGTGCCCTGTGAGGGTAACGATGATGGTGAAGATCAGCCTGGAGGAGGCGCGCCCCCTGGTGGAGGGTCCTGGAAGTGGCTAACAATTGGATTTCAGGACCTGATGAGTGCACCAGAGGGACCGCCCAGCCCAGACCAGGGGCTGGACTGCGGAGCTTCACACGCCACAAAGGGCAGTGCCACCTCAGAGCTGGGTGGGGGTTTGAAGGCTCTCTGAGAAGTGGGTTTGTGGGTTTATCCTCCCGTTGGGTCAGAGGTGGGGAAGCAGGAGGGAGGGAGGCCTGGGCCCGGGCAGGGCCGTGTTGGGACGGGCCACGCTGACGGTGGGTGTTGTGCGCTGGGTTTAGTCACAAAGCCGGGAGAGGCAGGTGCCGAGGCTCCTTCCGCGCTCGGCTGCGGGCGGCCAGGCCTCTTGGATGCCAGCGCTGCCGCTGTCTTGCTGCGGACACGAGGCGTCTCCCTGAGCCTCCGTTTCCTCGACTGTGAAATGGCGATTACAGGAACACGTGCCGCCAAAGCCAGACCAAACCTCTTAACTGTACGAAAGATGTGTGAGTGCCGACTGTGTCCCGTACACTGTGGTGGGTGCTGTATGCCTCACCCCGCAACCGCCTCTGAGGCAGGTGCTGCGGCATCCTCAGCTTACCCGGGGGAACGGAGGCACAGAAGTCTGGCAACCCACCCGAGTCTGGCGCCCGTGCTCCTGTCCACCGCACGCGTCCACCCTCGGCCCTCTGCTCCCCTCCCAGACACCGAGCGTGGGTGGCGGAGATGGCATTTGATGCCGAGGTCCTCCCAGAATCTGTCCTCTTTAACCCGGTGCCATGCAGCCACTCATAAAATAAATGATAGTCCACAGCCCCTGGTGTGTAGTGGGTGTGTAATGAGTATTAGATAAAATGGTTGTTTTCATTTTTATGGGTCTTAAATAGTCAGTCTCATCTTAGTTTCTGCTGGGTAAACTGAGGCTCAGAGAAGGGCAGGCGCGGGCCTGAGGACCCCCAGCTCCGCAGACCACGTGGGCAATAATAGCTAAATTTACATGGCACTTAACGGGTGCAGAATATCGTTTTCAGTCGCACTGTACGTGCGCGCCTGCACGTGGTATTTTGTGGAAGAGCCACACTCAAGGGGCCAAAGAGCCGCATGTGGCTCGCGAGCCGCAGTTTGCCGACCACTGTCCTAGGCCTTTTATGCAGATTCACTCGATTCTCTGAAGTAGGGACTGTGATTACCCCCATTCTATGGAGGAGGAAACCAAGGCGCAGAGAGGTCAGTCGCTGCCCAGGGTCACACAGGGAGTCGGGGCCAGGCCGCAGTCAGTCTGGGCGGGCCAGCTCCGGCGCCCGTGCTCCTGTCCACCGCACGCGTCCACCCTCGGCCCTCCCCTTCCCTCCCAGGCCGAGAACCTCTTGCTGGACGCCGAGGCCAACATCAAGATCGCCGACTTTGGCTTCAGCAACGAGTTCACGCTGGGCTCGAAGCTGGACACGTTCTGCGGGAGCCCCCCGTACGCCGCCCCGGAGCTGTTCCAGGGCAAGAAGTACGACGGGCCGGAGGTGGACATCTGGAGCCTGGGCGTCATCCTGTACACCCTCGTCAGCGGCTCCCTGCCCTTCGACGGGCACAACCTCAAGGTGCTGGGCAGGGCTGGCGCGGGGTCTTACTCTCCTGGGAGGAGCTCTCTGGGCCTCGTCCCAACACAGCTCCCGTGCAGAGGGGCGGGCTGGCCTGAGGTCATGTGACAGTGTGGGGTCAGGCAGAGCCATCCCAGATGGACTGTGCTGTGTCGGGGTTCAGGGCGGGGCCTTTGCGGCTGGCGGGCTGGGGTTCAAATCCTGGCTCGCTCAGTCCATTTTTATTGCCCATCGTCCCTGGGTCAGGCTGCTTTGGGTGTTGCAGATACTGTGTGGACAAGAGAGGCAGGAGCCGCCGCCTTCTCACGTGCCACACCAGGGGCCGTCCCTGCACACACGCCGAGTGGGACGAGCCAGTCACAAAAGTCCACGCGTTGTATGATTCCGCTCTTATGAAATGTCCATCAAGACAGAAAGCAGATTGGCGTTTGCCTAAGGCTAGGGGAGGATGGGGAAGTTGGAGAACAGGGTTTCTCTCGGGGTGATCAAATGGTCTAAAATAGATTGTGGTGATGATTGCACAACTCAAAATGTACTAAAAACCACTGAATTGTGCACTTAAAACAAAAAAAACCCTGCCCTCATGGACCGACATTCCAGCAGCACAGCCAGGCCAAAAACCGAATAAATAAGCGCGATGTATTATTTCAGATGCTGGCCAGTGCTAGGGGGGAAGCCGGGAAGGGTGGGAATGGGGCGGGGGGAGCTCTAGTGCGGTGGTTTTCTTTTCTCTTTGAACTTTTTATTCTGAAACATTGCCCGTCTACAGAAAGGTTGCAGGGCGAGAACAAATTTCAGGAGATGCGCCAGTCGCTAGCATTGGCCGCGGTCGTCGTATCCATATGTGCTTACGGCATGTCATTGCCACCCTCCTTATTAATGGAACGTTTGGGAGTTAGTTGCAGGCAGGATGCCCTTTATCCCTAAAAGGCGACGTACAGCAGGTGTCTCCTGAGACCAGGCCTTTCCCATCCGCCTTCACTCTCAGCAAATCCAGCGACGGTGCATCCCGGCCTCTCACCCAGGGTCTGTGCTCAGATTCCACCCGTCGTCCCAGGAACATCCTTGGTAGCCCCTTTCTGCTCCAGCATCGCCCCGGCTCCCGCGTGGCGTTCTCTGGTCCTATCTCTTTAGCCTCCTTCCACTGGGATCCGTTCCTCCGCCTCTTTTTGTCCTTCCTCACGTGGCGTTGCTGTCCAGTTCCGGCCGGTTACCTTGCAGAACCTGCCTCAGTGGGTGCCCGTGTGTTCTCACCATTGGACCCGGGTGGGGATTCACTGCAGAAACGCCCAGCCCTGCTCAGAGTGGCCCTGGAGGACGGTCAGGAGGCCAGGAAGTCTTTGCTGAGGACAGGCCATCAGAGCAGAGGCCGCGTGGTGAGGGGGAGGGAGCCCTTCACCGTGGTCTCAGCTGAGCGGCGGCCTCTCTGAGGGTCAGTCTCCCGCTCTGTCTAGGGAGGACTGCGGGACCAGCTTGTAACAGCGACCGAGCATGCGCTGAGCTGAGGCAGGAGAGGGCTCACTGTCGCAGAATAAGCGTTCTGTGCCCCGAGCATGAGCCAGGAGATCTTTTCTCTTCTCTTTGTTTGGTTCATCCTCCCCAGAGGATGTGTTTTCCATTGCTTTTTCAGAAACCGTGGAAGGGAGGGAGGGAGGAGGCGGGGAGAGAGAAACATCGATGTGTCTCTCACATTGACTGGCGGCCTCCTGCACGCAGGGAGTGAACCGCATCCCATGGGCAGGGAGTAACCTCTCTAGTCTATTCATCAAAATTAATGCTATCAAAATGTAACTGCTGAGACAAAACTAATGAGTTAAATGAGTAAAAGTTCCATTTAAATCTACAGGGAAAACATTTTCTCAAACACTTATCACAAGTAGGAAGCAGAAAGCTTTATTGGTCCTTAAAAAATGCCACATATTTAAAAATAAAATGACTGGAAATGCAGGATGTTCAAGCCAGTTTTGATAAACAGTGTAACAGTTTTAAAGTACTTCCTGAACTAATCAGACTCAGAACATAAGTGATCACAATTTAAATCTGAGGTTGTTTCTAGGTTACTTACAGGACAAAAACCTCATGAAAAGTGAGGGTGATCATTTTTTACTGAATATTATGTGCCAAGCACGGGTCTAGGGCTTTATATAACTGGTCTCATTTAAACTTCCCAGTCATCTTGGGCAAAAGGTCATAGTCCACCCCGTTTTATGGATGAGGAAGCTGAGTTGCTGTGTTAGTTTCCTAGGTCTGCCATAAAATACCACAAACTGGGTGGCTTCATGTAGAAATGTTGTTCTGGAGGCCAGGGTCCAAAGTCAAGGTGAGGGCAAGACCCAGCTCCCTCTGAAGGCTCCAGTAGAGGATCCTTCCTGGTCTCTTTCAATTTTCGGTAGCTCCCTGGTGTTCTTTGGCTTGTGGCAGCATGAGTCCAATCTTTGCCTCCATCTGCCATGGCCTTCTCTTTTTATATGATACCAGTCATTGGATTTAGGGCCCACCCTAAATCCAGTATGATTTCCTCTCTACCTCCTTAACTAATTATATCTGTAAAGACCCTATTTCCAAATACAGTCCCATCCTGAAGTCCCAGGTAGACATGAATTTTGGAGGACACTATTTAACCCACTACACCAGTGGTTCTCAACCTTCTGGCCCTTTAAATACAGTTCCTCATGTTGTGACCCAACCATAAAATTATTTTCGTTGCTACTTCGTAACTGTAATGTTGCTACTGTTATGAATCGTAATGTAAATATCTGATACGCAGGATGGTCTTAGACGATCCCTGTGAAAGGGTCGTTCGACCGCCAAATGGGGTCGTGACCCACAGGTTGAGAACTGCTGGGTTAGAGCATCATCCCTATATGCAGGGTTGTGGGTTTGATCCCCAGTCAAGGTACATATAAGAATCAACCAATGAATGCATAACTAAGTGGAACAACAAATTGTTTCACTTTCCCTTCCTCTCTCTTTAAAATCAATCAATAAATTGAAACAAATTTTAGCCCTGGCTAGTGTTGCTCACTGGTTAGAGCGCCTGCCCATGCACCAAAGGGTCTTGGGCTAAATTCCAGTTTGGGGCACATACCTGGGTTGTGGGTTCGCTTCCTACCCACCACCCCCAGTCGGGGAGTGTGCAGGAGGCAACCAGTCAATGTGTCTCTCTCACATCTGTTTCTCTCTCTTTCTCCCCCCCTTCCATCCCTTCCACTCTGAAAAGCAGTGGGAAAAAATATCCTCAGGTGAGAATTAACAAAACAAAACAAAATTATTTTTAAAGGTCAGCGGATGAGAGCTCATCCTTTGAGACCTGCAGAGCCTCCGAGCTCTTCAGAAGGGCAGGCAGGCACGTCCGAGGGAAGGTACAGGGATGGAGGGGCGTGGGCAGGAGTCCCCTCCCCCTTCCCTTGTATACGTCTAATATTTAAATAGTGCTGCTCGGGGCCTAGCGCGTGCTGGGCACTTACTGCTATAAACTCACTCACTCCCTGGCCCCTGAAGTGGGTGCTGGGGTCCCTGTTTACAGATAGAGAGACTGAGCCCAGAGGCTAACTCACCTGCCACCCCTCTCACCTGGCTTAGAGAATTCACTTTCTCTGTAAGGTTTCCTCTGAATGAGAAGTTAGTAGCTTTAAACTGGTAATATTTTTTTGAAAATTGCTGCATTTGGCACAATACTCCCATTTTACAGATGGGGAACTGAGGTCAGGAGGGAGTGGTGGGGTTTCACCCGCCTCATTCAGGGCTGGGACTCGGGGCTCCTGTCACTTCTGTCCGGGGACTGGGACAGAAGTGAGAGATGAGTGTGTGTGTGAGGGGTGGGGAGGCGGGCGGACCCCTCCCCCAGTAACCCCGTCCCCTCAGGAGCTGCGGGAGCGAGTCCTCAGGGGGAAGTACCGGGTCCCTTTCTACATGTCTACCGACTGTGAGAGCATCCTGCGCAGATTTTTGGTGCTGAACCCCGCTAAACGCTGTACTCTGGAGGTAAGCCGGCCCCACACCCCTCCGGCTGCCTTCTTGTCCTGCACCTGTCCTCTCCCCACCCGCCTGCTAAGGTCCTCGGCCGGAAGGTGGGGGGAGCCGGGCAGCCCAGGAAAAGGCTCCCAGACCCATCCTGATGCACCCCCCGACCCAGCAGCCTCGCCCACTCCCTGCCACGCCAGTAATTAGCTAATGAGCTTCTAGGATGATTACAGCGTGCTGGGGACCCAGATGATGTGGGGGCGGGAGGTGGCATCTGGAGGCTCCAGCAGGGGGCAGGGGGCCCGGGAAATGGGGTGAGGAGGTGCTCGCTCTCAGGAAGCCCTCACTTCTGGGATGCTAGGCCGTGGGGGTGGGAACCTATATTTTTTCCGGGCTTCTCCTGACATGCCTTCCCCCTTCCCTGCCCTGCTCCGATTCCTGCAGCAAATCATGAAAGACAAATGGATCAATATCGGCTATGAGGGTGAGGAGTTGAAGCCATACACAGAGCCGGAGGAGGACTTCGGGGACACCAAGCGAATCGGTGAGGGTCAGCGAGCGCGGGCCCCAGGGCCAGGGGAGGAGCCCTCCAGCCCCACCCCTCCGGTTGGTGCCTCAGCGACTTGGCAAGGCAGTGGGGAGAGCGGGAGCCTGGCGCCAGTCCCTGTGGCCCTGGGCAAGTGGCTGCCCTTCTCAGTGCGTCTGTTTCCTCGTCTGTAAAATGGCATATTCATAGAACTATCCTACAGGGTGTTATGAATATTAATTGACTGGGAGTGTAATCTACATACTGCACTTTATATCAGGCATGTACTGAGTGCTGATGTATGTTAGCTTTGACTATTCAAACACAAAAGAATGGCCCTAGCTGGTTTGGCTCAGTGGATAGGGCGTTGGCCTGCAGACTGAAGGGTCCCGGGTTCGATTTCGGTCAAGGCCATATGCCCGGGTTGCGCTCTCCATCCCCGGTGGGGGGCGTGCAGGAAGCAGCCGATCCATGATTCTCTCTCATCATTGGCGTTTCTATCTCTCCCTCTCTTCCTTCCTCTCTGACATCAATAAAAGTATATTAAACACACACACACACACACACACAGGGATGTCGGAGCACTTCCGGAGTGCTGGGGCACGGCCATCGGTAATCTGCGAGTTTGGGGCAAGTCCCTACCTTGGCCCGTGACTCACCCTCCACTCCTTTGGTCCCCATCCCTCCAGCCCAGAACCTTCGAACACTTGACCCCCAAAGCATTAGCCCTGGAAGAGCCCCTTAGGGGCCACCCCGTAACCCTCCAGTGTACAGCTGAGGAAACAGGCCACCGTCAGAAGGTCCTTAATCAGGGCTTCCCTGGTTGTAAGTCACAGAAAGCCCAAGCCATTCTGGCTTAAACCAGATGATGGTGATAATAAGAGGTCGAAGCATACGAAGTCGCCGTTTGCTTAAAAATCCTCAATACCAGCAATGTAATATGGTTTAACCTAAGAGTGACGTTATTCACATAACTAAACAGGCCGGGATGTCAGCCTTCGACACAGCTGGACCCAGGTGCTCAGAGGCAGCTGGGAATCTGCCAAGAGGCAGGTTTATTTCCAGGCAGCCCTCCCGCCAGGAGCAAGCTGCCAGCAGCATAGCCTAGTGGTCTGGGCACCTCGTCAGGAAGAGAGCCACTTCCTACAGTTCCACCGAAAGCACTAGGCTGGTGCCCATTGGCCGCCCCTGAACCAGTCAGTTTGGCCCTGGGGGTGGAATGCTCTGATTGGCCAGGCCTGGGTCATCTTCCTGCCCTCGGGGCTTGGAGCAGGCAGGCATCCGCTCAGTGATCTGCGTGGGAAAGGATGTTCTGCCGAGGAAAATCAGAGTCCTCCTGGCAGAAGGGACAGTGGGCACTGGACCAGCCAAAGAGTAGGCATTGCTGATGTGGGAAGGAAGGGCCTGAGGGCCTGAGCCTCCTCTCCGTCCCCCTCTCTCAGAGGTGATGGTGGGTATGGGCTACACTCGGGAAGAAATCAAAGAGGCCTTGACCAGCCAGAAGTACAACGAAGTGACCGCCACCTACCTCCTGCTGGGCAGGAAGACTGAGGTCAGGAGGCACCAGGGGCATTTGGGATTCGGGCTGCCTGGGGTGGAGGGACTTCTGGGGCCGAGAGGACATGGGGCTGAGGCTCATTGTCTGTCCTCCTGCAGGAGGGCGGGGACCGGGGCGCCCCAGCACTGGCCCTGGCAAGGGTGCGGGCGCCCAGCGACACCACCAACGGGACAAGCTCCGGCAAAGGCACCAGCCACAGCAAAGGGCAGCGGAGCTCCTCCTCCACCTACCACCGCCAGCGCAGGCACAGCGACTTCTGTGAGTATGGCCGCCCCACCGTCAGGCTCTCGGGTAGCAAGCAACAACCCGCTCGAGTCCATCACCTCGAAGAGAGGACTTGCCTATAGAGATGCAGGGACATCGCACGGGCCTTGGGGGCAGGAATGCACAGCCAGGCTCAGGGCAGGATCAGAGACCGGAAAAGCAGCCAGACCCAGAGCAGACACTGTCCGTGTCTCGCTTCCTCTGCTCGTTGGGTTTCTCCTTCCTCTCTTCCTTACCTCACCTTATCGTTTCCCAGGCCCTCGGTTCCTTACCTCTCGGTTTTGGAGACCAACTCAAGTTGTACCTGGAGAGGAGTGTCAGGAGCTCAGTGTGGTTCTGGGCGGTCCAGCCATTCCCCTCCTCTGGGTCTCCTTCCCCACCGCCCCCTTTTTTATTTTATTTTAAAGGTTTTTTTATTGATTTTTAGAGAGAGAGAAAGGGAGAGGGGGAGAGAGGGAGAAACACTGGTCGGCTGCCTCCTGCACACACCCTACCAGGGATCGAGCCCACAACATAGGCACGTGCCCTCACTGGGAATCAAATCGGTAACCTTTTGGTGCATGGGTTGGTGCCCAACCGGTGCCACACCGGCCAGGGCTCCCCCACCCCTTTATTTTTTATTGTTTTTAAAATATTTTTATTATTGATTTCAGAGAGGAAGGGAGAGGGACAGGGAGAGGGAGATAGAAACATCAATGATGAAAGAGAATCATTGATCGGCTGCCTCCTGCACACCCCCCACTGGGGGTCGAGCCCACAACCCAGGCATGTGCCCTTGACTGGAATCGAGCTGGGGACCCTTCAGTCGGCAGGTCGACACTCTATCCACTGAGTCAAGCCAGCGAGGGCTCCCCCACCCCTTTAAATAGCAAGACTGGCCCAGAAAGTGCTAGAGAGGCTGTGACTCCAACATCCTATGGTACAACACTATACCCCCTAAAGCCCCGCGTGGAGACCTGGGCTCCCAGGGTTCTCAGGGAAAGGATCGTTGACAGTGCCCGTGTCTGTCGGTGCCCGTCTGTCGTCATGGAGATTACTGTCCTTGGACGGTGACCATTAAGGTTCCTGAGGATTTAGCAGTTCTGACTGAACTTCTAGAACATGTTTAATCCCCTGGTTCTGAAACCATAAATTCCTAAGATGTTCTAAGGGGCCAGATTTGTTTTTGAAATTAAAACAGTCACAGGCTTTAAATTTTGGTAGTATGCAAAGGGTAAACAGTAAAATAGTTTTCGTTCAATACATTTCTGCGAGCCCCACCCCCACCCCATTCATTCTCCTTGGAGGCAGCCACTGTTACTGGTTTTATATACATTGTTTTTTTGTTTTTTTTTAAACTTTCAAGAGTTTATTTGAGTATACATGGATTATATACATTCTTTTGAAGAGGTTTTATTTATAAATATACTAGGGGCCCAGTGCACAAATTCGTGCACCCTGAAAGGAACTGTGGGCTGCAAGGCTGTGGTAGGCCCAGGGGCGGGTCTCAGGCCATCCTCCATGCCCCCGCCCGACCCCTCCCTCCATGGCCCTGGTCCCCAGTCCCCTGTCTGCCGGTGGGAGCTGCTGCCGCTGCCGCTCCCATGCACTGATGGTGCCAGCCCTGCTCGCACCCACTGACGGCATGGAGCAATTGGGGCCAGCGCCAGCAGCGGGTGTGAGTGGGGCCAGCACTGTCAGTGGATGCAAGCGCAGCTGCTGCCCTGATAGCCCCTCAGGAGCAGGGGGAGGTGGAAAAGCACTCAGGGACAATCGGGGCCAGAAGCCGCCACTTGCACCCACTAATGGCACCAAGAGATCGGGGCCGGCGCCGGGCACTGGCAGTGGGTGCAAGTGGCAGCTCCGGAACTGGCAGTGGGTGCGAGCGGGGCCGTTGCCGGCAATAGGCGCAAGAGTCAGCTGCTGGCCCCAATCACCCCTCAGGAGCAGGGGGAGGTGGAGAAGCCCTGAGGGGTGATCAGGGCCTGCAGCCGCCACTTGCACCCATTGACAGTGCCGAGTGATAGGGGCTGGCGCCAGGCGCCCCAGCAGGTGCGAGTGGTGGCTCTGGCCCCGGCAGCGGGTGCAAGCGGGACTGGCACCAGCAGTAGGTGCAAGCGCCTGGCGGGACCGTGGCACATGGGAGCAAAGAATTTTCTGTAACCAGCAGAGGCTCGCCCCGATGACAGCGACCAGCGCCCTACCTTGGTCTGGCTCCCCTACTCACCTGCTCCACCATCCCGCTGTGGCTGACACCTGCCATGTTCTGTGCTCTGCCACCTGCTGCTGACACCCGCCATGTTCCGCGCCCGCCCCCTGGTGGTCAGCGCACATCATAGCAACCAGTTGTTCGGTTGTTCCACCGTTCGGTCTATTTGCATATTAGGTTTTTATATATATAGATAATGAGGTAGCCCTGGCCAGTGTTTTTCAGTGGTTAGAGCCTCGTCCCAAGCACTGAAGGGTCTGGGTTCGATTCCTGGTCAAGGACATGTACTTGGGTTGCAGGTTCCATTCCTGGCCCCAGTTGGGGCACATGCAGGAAAAAACCAATCAACGTGTCTCTCTTGCAGTGGTGTTTCCCTCTCTCTCTCTCTCTCTCTCTCTCTCTCTCTCTCTCTCTCCCTCTCTCCCCTCTCTCCTTCTCCCCCCCTTCCTTCCACTCTCTCTAAAAATCAATGGGAAAAATATCCTTGGGTGAATAAATGTGTGTGTATCTATCTATCTATATATATATATGGAGAGAGAGAGAGAGAGAAGATGAAAAGGAGAAAGAAAAGGGACATACAAAGATATAAATATGTTAACATATTAATTTACTGTACAGGTAACATTTTCCTCTTTTGATGCAGATGATAGCTCTTTGGAGATATTCATATATGAACAAGGTGATATAGTAGATATGTATAGATAGGCACTTTTCTCCTTTTTTGTGCAAATGATAGCACAGTGTAGGCCTGCTTCGCAGTCTGTCTTGAAGATCACTATATTGTTACATAATCATTCTTTTTATTTTTTTTATTTTTATTGATTTCAGAGAGGAAAGGAGAGGGAGAGAGAAGTAGAAACATCAATG